AACAAAAAACCGGATGAACAATGCCAAAGTGAAGTCTCTCTTTTATTGTATAGGGAAATGAATGCCATTTCCTCATATTAATGGCAAACAAAATGATAACTATCAATTAAATATTTCACTTCTTATATTAATTCCTAACCAAATGATAAATATTAATTAAATTGGTATTTCAATTATGAGGTTATATTGGACATACAATTCGGTTTGCAAAATGAAAAAAATAAAAAATAAAAATTGAAAGGATGCACTAATATATTATATTTATGATTTTCCCTTATTTGAAAGTTTTTTAATTGGAAATTTTATGCCCTCATTTGGTTTTAAAAAAATCAAAAAATTTTAAAAGGTTGCATTAATATGTTATATTTATTATTTACCCAAATTTAAAAATTGTTTTAATTTAATTGGCAATTATGTATGAAAATACCTAAGTTCAGATAAAAATCGAATACCTAAGTCTGATAACCATGCCTTTAATTTTAAATGCACCATAATCGTTACTAATTACTAATTATATTTTAAGTCCCAAAATTAATATAACTCTACTTCATTTTGTTTTAGGAATTCTTGTATGGCAGCATTTTGTTAGGTGATACTTCTCTTATTTCCAGCCATAGCGGCTACTTTCCTGGTGTGCTGTGCCGCCACTCTTGATCCACCTTGCCTGTGATGGCGGTAGGGATCAGTGAAGATGTGTTGTCCTTCTAGGTACCATTTCGTCAAGGGAGCATCTTTGCCTCCCGAATTCATAATGTATTGAAAGTTATTTCCCTTACGGGGGTTTTCTCTTAAACAGTTATCTTTTCAAAATTTTCTCTCTTTGATGGCTTCCACTTGTTCTTTTTTACGAAGGCCTTTTTCAAAGGGGATGCTTATGCTTATTCAATAGCTTTTACCATTTGGATTTTCATAGTTATAATATGAAGTTACCTACAGACGGCGTCAATCTATTGACCCTACTTTTTTATTAGAGATGACGTGGTCAATAGATCTTAGCTCTAGTAGTGCCTACGTGAGCTTTTGTCCTGCACAATTGGACAAATCGTTAGAGCGTACGACCAAGCTCCGGTGGTGGGAGAGGCGACTGTAGGCACTCTGACTGTCAACTCAATATGATTGAATATGTATAATTGAATGTGGGATAGGCTCAGGGAACAAATATATATCAAAGAAAAGAAAGGGGCTCAAAATTGGGGATGTGACGTTACTTTTGGATGGAGCAAAGTGTGAGATTTTATAGTAGAGGATGATAGATGTAGACCATTGGATAAAGATACACGTGGCCTCATTACTGCGGCCAGATTCTCCCATCATCGGTGTTAATCAATCATTCCTAAGCCATACTACATTAAGTGTAACGGAGGTTTTGCAACTTTAGACCTATCATATAAGATTAGACTAGACTTGCTGGTTAAGTGAAGCGGACTTTTTAGTAAGTTATCACATCACTCCACTTGCCATATGTTTTTCATACAAAGATCTCCTTAGAGGAGCCTCTGTCAACTGCCCCAACAACATGGGGTCAACTGCCACTAGTGGATTCGGCCTAACAACATTGGTTCAAATCGAAGATCACCACGTCATTGACATGTTCTTCTGACTTATGCCATCTGCCTTTGAACGAAGCCTCATCGGACGAGGCATAACATATGGGCACGAAATTGCGTTGCGTGTTAAAAGATGGCCCCGGATTAAGACACATGCAACCGGATTTGCTCGCAATTGCCTATTTCGGTTGAGAAACAAAGTAAAGACTCGACGAGAGTAGAAGGAACAATCCGAACAGAGGGCATGCGTGGGACGAAATCACGCGACGTGTCGATCGATTGGCCTAGATAGAAGACGTACGTTGCAGCGTAGTGCTCGCAATTTCCCAATGTCCGGTCGGTTGGCACGAAATTGTCCCGAATCGAGACCGTCTTGAGGCACAACGATGTAGGATGGAGGACATGCGTGGGGACGAAACCGCGTGACGTGTTGGTCGATTAGCCTAGGCATAAGAAGCATGTTGCAACGTAGTTCCCGCAACTGCCCCGACAACACGGGGTCAACTGCCACTAGTGGGTTCGACCTAACAACATTGGTTCAAAATCAAAGATCACCATGTCATTGACACGTTCTTCTGACTTCAGTCATCTGCCTTTGAACGAAGCCTTATCAGACGAGGCTGAATGATTTGATCAATATATATATATATATATATATATATATATATGTATTCATTAAATATTAATTCCGTCTAATTAATAATTTTTCGTTGTCTCAATATGATTATTGGATCAAAGTTTTACTACACTTAGGCTACCCTGCAAATTGTGCGGAACCCTGTTGATCTGGCATTTTTGCGCCAATTCCTAAACTTCCAAGAAATTTCACTTTGTCCTTGCACTTTCAGTTTCTTCAATTTGAGTCTCTCAACTTTTGATTTCATCAATTTTGATCCTTCAGCTTCTAATATTTTTTCTTTTGGTGCTTGAGATTTTTAACCTTCCATTTTGGTCACAGAACTTCTGATCTCTTCAATTTTTGTCTTCCAACTTTTTCAAAGCTTTCATTCTAGTCCCCAAAATTTATGAAATCAATTTCGGCCAATTGAGTTCTAGCACTTTTTGGCCTTCCTCAAACACCATCCTTTCATCCAATTTTATTTTCAAATCACTTCATGTTGTTTTATTCATCTTCAAATTGAGAATTAAGCCTAAAAAAGTCGATTACAACACAAATTGAGAGAAAATATTCCATAAATCAACTTTTAATTACATGTTGGAACCTCGGTAAGTGTGGAAAACATATTTATCAAAATTAAAATGACTAAGAAAGAGAAATATAAAAATTATAATTAAAATTGCCTTTTAAGTGTATAAATCTTCCTTATCTTGTATGGCAGCCTGTGAATCACTCTTTACTTTACTCCCGTTTCTCTCCTTTTTGGGTCACTGCATTTTCCTTCTGGGTTGGAGAAGACGGAGATGTAGACTTAGACGTGGTTCACATTTTGATTTGATATGGACTAAAGGGTCAATTTGATTCGACCTATATCACTACTTATATCTATAATCACATTAATTATTTTTAGAATCTTGTTCAATACAATTTTTTGATTGTGCTCGATGTCCAATTTGAGAAAGCTTAGAAAATAAAAAATCCCTTATGAGTTTCATTAAGAGGAGGCGCCTAGCAAAATAGCATGTCAGGAAACTGATAGAACTCTAAGACTTGAACTATTGGGACACAAAAATCAATTATTAATAAATTGATAAGTATCTTTGTGGGACTAAGAATCAGTACGAGTTTATTAATCACTCTTTACTTTATTCCCATGTCTCTTCTTTTGGGTCACTGCATTTTCCTTTTGGATTGGAGAAGACGCAGATGTAAACTTAGACGTGGTTCACATTTTGATTTTATATGGACTAAAGGGTCGATTTGATTCGACCTATATCACTACTTATATCTATAATCACGTTAATTATTTTTAGAATCTCGTTCGATACAAATTTTTGATTGTGCTCGATGTCCAATTTGAGAAAGCTTAGAAAATAAAAAAATCCTTTATGAGTTTCATTAAGAGGAGGCGCAGCGCAACATAGAATGTCAGGGAACTGATAGAGCTCTAAGATTTGAATTGCTGGGACACAAAAATCAATTAATAATAAATTGATAAGTATCTTTGTGGGACTAAAAATTAGTACGAGTTTCCTCAAAAGGAGGAAAAAAAGAGGATTTCAAGCGGGACACTGCCAAACAAATATAAGAAAATGATTATCAACTAAAGTTAAAATTGAAATTAATTATTTTAACTTTTTTTTTTAGAAAACAAGTGGAATTTTATGTCGTAAGGTAAATCGTGGTTTGAAGGCAGATAGAACCACTAAAATTGGATTTATATTATTTGAAAAGTGAAATAATTTATTTCAGTTTGAAAACTTTTCAAACCATTAATATTTGAATATAAGCAAAAAAAAGGTCCAAAACGTCAATTTCACCATTTTTGAATATAAAATAACCAAAATACCCTCCTTTTAAATAAAGCCAAAAAAAAAAAAGAAAAAAAAAGAATAAATTGCAATCTTACTCCTAATATTTTAAAAAGTGCAAGTGAGTCTAAATAATTATTAAAAGATCTAATAGCACAAAACGTCCCTACGTTTGGCCTGTATTTACAAAATATCCATACGTTTCAAATTTATGAAAATGATTTTTTCCACAATGAAAAGTGAAAATAGGGATGAAATGCAAAAAAAATTGAAACGTATGAACGCTTTTCGCAAGAAATATCAAACGTATAGACGTTTTCCACAATAAGTATCAAACATAAGGACGTTTTGTGCTATTAGACCTTATTAAAATTGAAACCATTGTCAAACCGCATAACCTCTATATTATTTCCAAAATATCATCACCAAAACTTCGACAGCATCACCTATTTCAAAGAGATCCATGTCATTTTCAACACGGATAGACTATACTCATCGGTACCGGTACGCTTCTTTTCATGGTCTTTTCTTTTTTTTTTTAAATATTTTTCCAACCGCCTTTTTTTTTTAAAATTTTCCAACCGCCACGTCATTTTGTCTTCAACCCTGTCTTTTAACCAGTTTGAAAAATGTGAGTCAACGTAAATGGGCAGAAAGCTGGCAACGGGATAGAGACAAGAATTGTGGGGCATTGACATTTAATGGTGATTGAACATAGTTTGACACAAAAGTTTTCACACGGTGCAAATTAAACGTAAGTTTGATTTAGGTTTAAAAATTATTTAAAAACATTCAAGTCCCTTTTTACAAATGCTAGGAATTTTATTTTATTTTATTTTATTTATTTGATCTGGGGAATTTTTCATATGTTTTGAGAAATTTACAAACATCATTC